GATTGGGTAGACCAGTTGAAGTTGGCAGTGATCAAATCAAGACATTAATTGAGAACAATCAATGTTATACCACACAGGAGATAGCTGACATACTCAAAATATCCAAATCAATAAAGTTATTGGTGAGAATGAAAAATGTATCTTTTATTTTATGGAAAAAACCATACAGTCTTTTTGCCCAACCCAATACAAATACCTGAGCCCCACTCCCAGAGCTCCCCAGTCCTTTGGTCTGCGGGTGACAAAACATTCACTAGCGTAGGAAAGAAAAGTCATGGCATCTATCAGCCTGAACTGCTTCTCTAGCACAAGGAACAACCACTGAAGTGGTTTGGTAGGCTGGATGAGAGGCAAGGGGACAGCTCATCTGGTCCTCTGGGTGCCTAGCTCTCCTCTGGGGATTACCAGAAGCACAGTCAAAGGAAAGAAGCTAGAAACCCGTACTCCTGGGAGGACAGCCTTTGGGGGTCTGGGGACATGCGCCTGGCAGACAAAACAATGGGAACAGCTTCATTCTTAATAAAGCAGTAACCCCCACACCACCCCTTTCCAAAAGGCAAGAAATAGTAGCACTCTTGCAGTAGCAGAAGGCAAATGTGCAAGTTTGAATTGGCTGAATTGAACTACAGGTCAGAAAAAGATCTTTTTAACACCTTTGTTTTTAACAGGAAGAAGAAAGTGCAAGAGAAATCCTTCAGCAGATAGAACTTTGGACTTGAACCAAAGATCTGAGCCTCGGGGCCCACAACCTTGCCTTTTAGATAGAGGTTCTCCCACCCTAATATCTCCTGAGTTCAATTTATGTGCCTTCCTCCAGTCACTCACTGTTATTACACCATACCCAAGTAGGAATAAAGGGACAAGAACTGTCACCACGCTTCTTAAAGGATGACTTTCTTATTTGGTGATCAGTGAAAATCAGTAGTACACTGGTCAGGAAACCAACCAGTTTATACACTACCTTCCACCAAGGGTAGCATGGACACTTCATGAATGTTCATGGCAGGGAGGGGGGTAAAAGAACTGGGTAGGGCATCGTGCCAGTGCTAAAAGACTTTGCCACCAAAATAGTACAAAAAGCACAACTTTCCCGACCCTCTGCATCTGGAGTCCCAATGAAAATTAGCATATTAAACGCTCTGAGGAGTCCCATGGTAAGAAAAAGAACATGGGCTATGGAACCACCATAAGTCACAATTCACTTGCTTTACAACTGTGCTGGCCAATAGGATAGCACTCTAGCTACATGCGGTTACTGAGCAGCTGAAATGGGGCTAGTCCAAACTGAGAAAGGCTGTAAGTGAAAAACACATTCTGTACTTCAAAGGCTTAGTGTGAAAAAAAAAGCTGTAAAAATATCTCCACTTCTTATATTGATGACATAATGAAATGACTGGATTTTGATGATATATTATAAAATGACACTATTCTGGATCTATGGAACTAAAATTAATTTCATCTGTTCATACTTTTTATCGTGGCTACTAGGATATTTAAAATCACGTATGTAGCTCACACTGTATTTCTACTGGATAGTGCTTCTTCAGAAAATACTAGGCTAAAGCACAAGCTTAAAAACCTCAGATAGATTTCGTTACTGTGGTACTGACACCACATTTGTTTTTCTCCTGAAACAGAGGTAGGTACTCGGGATGGATAAAAACAGATGAAAAAAGCACCTGGACATTCTGACCAGGACGTCCACCTAGCAATACGTTAACCCAAAGGTATCAAGGAATTTCTTAGAAAAACTGAACATCTTTCCTTTTTTGTCTACTATGCCTTAGATCTTTACATAATGCTAGAGAACTGGTTCCCTTTGCCTTTTTTTCCCATGACTCTGTCTGTCAAGTTTTTCCTAAATACCACGCTAAATACTAAATAAATCTGGAGTTCAGTGACTGAAATCATTCTGCGCAATGCACACAGAGGAAGACAAATTCCCTCAGGGACTTCCCAGGAGGGTGCTGCTGAAGGCCCACTGGGTTACACAGGTGTTGTTCTATGGTAGATTCCACTCTCTTTCACTCGCGCTGTGACTGTGGGTGACCACTTCACCCATTCCCTGTGCAAGGGCCATGGGCATGGAATGTGTGGAGAGCCTGCAGAAGTCTGAGCCCCGGGTGCACAACACACTACCCCTCTCCATTCGTGAAAGGAAGTTGGTAAAACCCTACCAGAGAACTAGTTGTGAGACGGAACAAGTAACCTGCTTTGCATTCAGCTTCCTCAGTTCTAAAATAGGCATAAGAGTGCTCATCTTACAAAGGAATCTGAGGATCCAACAAAGGAAAGCTGACCGCCTAGCACGTGGCTGGCAGTAAGCAAACACAATTTCCCTCCAGACTCCTCTCTGCTCTGTGGGCTTCAGTCATCTTTGCCGTAAAGTTTAGGGACTGGACCTAAAGGTCTAGTCCTTTCTCAATTTAAAATTGAGGGATTAAGCAGTACAAATTGGTAGCTGCAGAACAGCCACAGAGATGTAGATGACAACACAGAAAATACAGTCGATAATATCGAGATAAATAGGTATGGGGCCAGGCGGGTACTTGAAGCAGTGAGAGGGACCACTCTGTAAATTTTAGGATAAAGTATATGGTTTACCAACCACTTTGCTGTACACCTGAAACTAACAGAGAACAATATTAAATGTAAACTATCGTTGAAAAACAAATTTAAAAAATAATCACATTGAGAGGCCATCTGTATGGGCAGTTGTTACACGGCAAATATAAGTGCTCAGAAGATCTGCCACACTGGGATAAGAAGTGGGTTTTCCCCTTTGTGGATTTTTCTCCTCAGAAGTAGTAGTTCAATAATACTGTTTCCACTCAAAGGGGCTGTTGTATCCAGCTTCCAGGCCTCAGAAAGACAGCAAAGTGGGAACACCAGCATGTAAATGCCACTGAAGGGTTTCCCAAGGTCCCCAGGAATCCCCCTGCTCTGGCAGTGACTGTCCTCTGTGGGAAAGGCACCACTGTAATATCCTAGCCTGTCATTATTGAGGCCCCATTCCTGTGCCTCGCCCACTTCAGGTCCTCAAATAAAAGCATCTGCTATCGTTAAAAATTGATTCCTCTCCTTCAGGTCTGGCACCTCATCCTCCAGGAAACATGACGTCTTCTACATCCTCAGACTAAACGTCTCTCTCCTTTCTCCATTCTGTACAAAGTCTCTATATCCGATCCCTCTGCCAGCCCCACAGAGGGGCTCAAGGGAGCTCTGAGTAGCTGAATTAACTGCTAAAAATGCCTAAAGCTGCCGAAGTAGGGTTGGGCTATATACTCTTGGACTAAGTAAGTATGCAATAAATAGACATATTTGGAATAGCAAAGTTTTTGGATAGACTTCAAATGGATCACAGGCGATAGGCAACCTAGTCATTGATTATTTAGGCCTGAGCAAGTCAGAAAACATCAATATTTCTAAGTGTCTATATAAATGAACAAATCCATTGCCCAGTCATCTACCTCAGTACTCAGGGGCTATGGGGCTAAATGAGGTCAGAAGTCTGCACCCCCCAGAATCCCAATCTGTGCCCCAAAGCACACGGGGGAGATACTGAACCTCTGAGCTCTCGAAACAGCTGGGCAACCAGATGCCCTGGGTCCGACCCCTTCAGGCAACAAGTTGCCGACACTCTCCATGCCCCAAATCCTCTTCTGACTAGTCAAACCCCAATTTAGTGGGGCTACTAGAGCCCAAGGCTACAGAGACTGAATGAAAAAGCTACCTACCATAGGGTCTTGCCTAAGCTTCCCAAACAAAAGTGACCAGTTCCTCCTCTGACCCCAGTGTGCCCCCTGGATGCCCTATCATAGCACAGATCCAACTGCATCATATTTGTTTATATATTTCCTCCACCGAGCTGGGTTCCTTGTACCCCAGAGCCTATTGCATAATGCTCAATGTTGGCTACTGGACTGCAGGCATCCTTCTCAAACTAGGTGCACTGTGAGCAGGGGTGTAACACAAAGCCAGAAGATAAACAAGGTGCATCTTACTAGAGTCCAAGCTTAAAAGATTTTCTTATTTATTAGGACACTGTAAGAGAAAGTAAATTTGACAGGGAACTTGAGTAAAATTAAGTAGTAGTGTTGTAGCAGGTTGGCAGCTTCTCAGGGCTCTGCCTCACACTGCAGGGTGTCCAAGTTCCCTGTCCTTTCCACCACAGGTCCCTGCCAAAGTTGAGAAATCCAAAGAGCTCTGGAGGTGTAGATGTGCCCTCCTTCTTGAGGCTGAAAGCAATCTGTCAGGCAGGGGTCAAAAATCACCCATGCCACTTTCTAGGTGAAACAAACAAACAAACAAACCAAAACACGAGCTAATCTTGCTTGCCTAGGCAACTCAAAAGAAAAATGCTGAAGACAGGAAAAGAAGCTCTCGTCAATTACAGACTCAGGATGTCACACGGGTAGGCTTATTTAAAAAAAAAAAAAAACTGGCTTTTTAAAAGCCTAAAATAACGTACCACAGCTTGTTTAGGTCCAGAGACCCTTTGATCATTTCCTGGAATGGTCGCCAACAAGAAACTCTCATTTCTCGTCTTTACTCTTCTTGCTCGGTTGCCTCAGCAGTAAACCCTTAATGGGCTCTCGATAAACAGTAATCAGAGCACCTCTTTCTTACGGGAAGCCTCCTGCGCACATCTGAGGCTTCTCAAGGGTTAGCACTCATGCGGGTGTGCAAACACCCTCCCCCACCTTCCTCCAGAAGAGGGGCTTCCGCACTCCACTGAAGGGCTCCCAACGGCCCAGGGTTTTCTGAATTTTTCTCCATCCCCAGCCTTCAAGACTCTTCTTGGCCAACCCTGCTGCAAACAAGGAGCGGACGGGCAGGGCAAAACATCTCGAGGGAAGCAGGATTGAAGAACCGGCTCTTTCTTCCTACAAGTGCCTTCGGGGGCCGCGCGGAAGGAACCTGCCGGGACTGTGGGCCGCAGGGCAGACAAAAAGTTAGACAGACACATCTGTAGGCCTGAAGTCCGGGGCCGCACTCACCTTGGCCGACGTCTCTCCGAACAGAGGTCTGTTGTCCAGCCCACTGGTGCCGTAGGTCCTGGTAGAAAAGTCCTCCATTTTGGGGTTTCTTCACACTCCCCAAAGTCACTCAAAACAAGCCAGCATTCCCTCCCGAAGTGCCAGGTCCGGGGCTCCCCACGCGCCGGGTCACCGGACACACATAGCCGAACCTCAGGTGCGTCCCGGACGTCCAGGCGGTAGTGGGCGCTCAGACCCGGGGGAACGGACGGCTCCGCCCAAGCCCCGCTCTTCTCCTCATCTTGAGCAGCTGCCGAAGGAAGTGAACGGAAACACCTTTGGCCAACTCTCTGCAGGACGCCCCCGCCTGGGCAGCTCCCACTTCCCCAAATCTCGGCGCTGCGCCCGCCCGGCTCGCGGCCGCACGGTCCACAGGGCACAGAAGCTCGCAGAGCGAGTCGGCTTCCCGGGCCCGGGCCCCACGTGATCCCCACCCCTCTCCCCACCCCACCCCCGGTCCCGGCGGGCACGCAGACCTCCAGGCTCAGGGGGAAAAAGTTTCAAGGAAGAATTCACTGTGAGCCCCTCTTCACCACCCCACCCTCAATGCCCCAGCGGAAGGAAAAGAGAAGTTACAAGCGGGAGCAGAGCCTACAGCTCGGCTGGCGCCTCCCGCAGCGCTGCGGCTGTAAACCTAGCAACTTGGGTCCCCCCTCAATTGTTGCATCTACCCGCGGGCCGGCGGGCCTCCGGCAGCGCTGCCCCGAGCTCTGTGCGGGAGCCGCGGCCCGAGCGGGCAGAGGAGACCATCCCGCCAGAGCCCCGCACCGACTGGCCACCCTCCTGGAAACCCCGCGCCCGCAGGCCAAACCTCCGCGTCCCCCGCCGCCCGCACGCTAAGGAGTCCTGGCCGCGCTGGGAACCGTGGGTCCCGGGTCCACACCCCGCCGGAATTCGGTACCGAGGCTTGGGGGCACCGGCGAGAAAGAGATCTTTCCAGCTGGCAGGGAGCGGGCGCACGGTCCAGGCGCCGAGCTGCGGGTTCCCGCTCCAAGGCTCCGGCCCGGACCCGCGGCCACTGTCGCAAACAGACTCGGCCCGCCCAGACCACGTCAGGGCTGAGGCTGCCAATCCCACCTGCCGAGGCGACGCATTGGCTGCGGTGCTTTATTTCTAGAGGTGCCAGTTTATTCCCAGTGGAACTGCTCGTCTCCCCGGCTGCACGTTTCTCAGCCTCTTAGTAATTAGCGTCTGCAAGAGCCACGTGAGCAAAGAACATTTCTGAAGATAGCCTCGCATTTGGTTGAAAGCATCTTACAAACGAGCAGCCTGCGTTAACCACCTCAGTCTTTGCACAGTAGGACAGAATGAGGTCATTGATAAATTTGTTTCAGGGTATGGTTTTCTTGGTACGCCTGTGATTGGGATCGTGTGTCGTTTACAGAAACAGTCAGGAGGTAATGAGTGCTAGGTACTACGACTTGCTCATTCAATCCTGCTAGTGGTGGTGCTGACTAAGCATGTTCACAGCCCCATGGAACGCTTGTCAATCTCTGCTACTTAGAGCCCAGAGAACTGAAGGTGGACAGGCCTCATAGGCAACACAGCGTTACTCTGTATTTGGAGCCATTTATAAGTATATGAAACAAACACAGCCAGGCTAGTTTCCCTGGACACGACTGCTCCTAGATTGAGGAGGACTCTAACAAAGTCTGCGTGCGGGGAGCCGGTGTTTCGCACGTGTAGCTACAGAACTCTCACGCGTCCAAGTAAGGATTCCAGTGGTCCCTTAACAGTTTAGGACAAGTGATGGATTGAGAATCACATAGCTATAGATTTGGAATTAATAACACTGACTAGAGTCAGGTATGGTGCGTATCTGATGTACCAGATATATTTTATAAATGATCTCTTTGTTCAAGACTTTTTGTTATGTAAGGAATTTTCACCCAGAATCATTTACCCATTCCTACCAGAAAGTTGATTGGCTCGACAAATAGCTTTTCTTACTCATATTCAGCCACATTCATTGAACAAATACTTTTGAGAACAAATACCTTTAAAAACCTGTATCAGACAATCACCAGTCAGGGTAATACAGTGATCAAGAGACAGGAGAGGTCATAGTGTGGAGGCTGGAGTAGGCAACTGATTACAGTCCGGAGAAAGGAGCAGGCAAGACACCTAAGAGCACAAGCTTTGAAGCTGATCGAATACCATATTTTGCTGTGTATAATGAGCGCTTTTTGCCCAAATTTTTGAGGGAAAAATAAGGATGCGCATTATACATAGGTGTTAACTAATTCTGTGTCTATATAAATGTTTTTAATTCTTTTATTTATGTTTATGCATTAAAAGTATAACTCTAGAAAGCAATAATAGTATCCATGTGCAAAATAATACCCTCGAATGCAATAATTGGTTTTGTTTCTAAATATACATAAATAAATGGTTGAATTTAAAAATTAAAACAACAGTTTTTTCCTGAAATTTTGGGCCAAAAACATGGGTGCACATTATGCAAAATGCATGTGTCCCCAAACCTTGATGCATATGATCTTGGGTGAGTTATCTAACCTCTCTTGAGTTTCTTATGTAAAAAGTGAAGATTGATAATGATAAATGAAACTAGAATATCTAACTTCAACTGGTTTTAAGTAAATATGTATGTATTTAACAGGGAATATACGACACCTGGCAAATAAGCATCCAAATGGTGGTTGTCATAAATGGCGATGTGTGAGTGCTATGATCTGGACACTACGGGATGCTATAGGTGTATTTGGGACGGCACCCACGGCCTCAGGTGTCAGGGGAAGCTTCCTGGAGGATCCTTGTAAATCAAGAACCACCCTCCCTACCCCACCCCCCCACACACACACATGCAAAAGAGGTGATTTAGTCAAGGTAAGGAGGAGCATCAAGAAGGCTGGCCAGAGAAGCCAGATCTTAGTGTCGGGTGTATTTGAGGAGAAAGGTTGTGTCAGGGATAATGACCCTCGAACTCTAGAGCTGCCTAGTCTCTTATTTCATATCAGTGTTGTGCCTCTGCTCCATTCTTTTTCCTAAGAACCAATTTCATGGTGATTACCACTCCCTAAAACCTCAACTGACCTAAGACTTTAGCTTGTTTTGGGTGCTAAACTCAGGGAAAATGGATCTTGTAGCTCTACTGCCCACCACTGCTTTGGAGGTTCCATTGCCAGTTTTTAGCTCAGATTCTCATGAGAAATTTTCATTGGCTGAGTCCAGATTATGGACTGGCTTCTACTTGATTCAGTGCCTCCACCCCCAACCTGTCCAGATGGGAGCAGATAGAACACATCTCTTTTAAGGTACACCCTCTCCACCAGAATATGGTAGAGGACATTTCTATAAAGAACAGAGTATGTATGGAAGTCAGTGATAGGGTTATCCAGTGTGTTGCCACTCAAAGTGTGGTTCCCAGACCACTGAATTGTCATCACCTGGTACCTTGTTAGAAATGCAGAGCTTCAATCCTCACCCCAGATCTGCTGAATCATAACTTGAATTTTAATAAGATCCCCAGGAGCTTTGTGTGCACCTTGAAGTTTCAAAAGCACTTCTTTTATACATCTCTATTTTTGCAAATTGGGCCAGAATCCATACAGATGACCCTCCCAAATACCATAGCTCCTTATTTTTTTCCCTTATTGTGCTTCAGCCACTCATTACAATGCAACATTCTGGACTTTGTCATCATCCAGAATTGCACCATGTTGCAAATAAATCCAGGGAGACCATTTGGTTTGCCTTGCCCCCAATCCTTCCAATTCCCTCTCTCCTCCCCCCCCCGCCCCCCCACCCCCGCCACACACTCTACTCTCACTCTCATCAGTCCTTTGGCAACTTCAGTGTCTCTGATCCTTTGGTAGCTCGACTTTCTCTCTAGGGATCTACTCACCTGTTTTCACTTTTTTCCAACTTAGATTCTGTGTCCCATCACTGCAATTGCTTTTTTTAACCCTCACCTAAGGACATTTTCTCATTGCTTCAAGAGAGAGAAGAAGGAAGAGAAAGATACATCAATGCAAGAGAGAAGAATCAATTGGTCACCTTGCACAAGCACGCAGACCGGGGATCAAACCTGCAACCTAGGTATGTGACCAGACCAGGAGCGGAACCCATAACTTTTCAGTCATGGGCCGACACTTCAATCACTGAACCACATCAGGCAAGGCTGCAGTTGCTTAAAAAAAAGAATATGTATATATATCTCCAAATCCTGTTCCCTCATTTTATTTATTTTATCACACTTGTGCAGAAAGTCCCCTGAGGTATTAATCTGTCTGCCTTCTCAACATCTGTGACCAGGTGTCTAGGGCAGGTGGAGGGAAAAAGTCATTAACGCTCTTGATTAGAGTAATTTTAAATTCAGGGCAGCCTACCTCAACTGTGCCCTTAATCCTGTGTTGCCTGGGCAACACTCCCTTACCCTCAGCAGGTGACTCAGTCACCTACTTCACGGGGAAGAAACCGAAGCCATCGGATGGGAATGCCCTCGCGGTGCCCCCCACGCCAGCCCCCGGCAAACCTACAGGTTCGTCTACACCACCCTCATCTGTTCCTCCTTCCCTTCAATTAGAATGGGAGAGATGCCAGTCCCTCTCTCACATCTTATATCCCACCACATCCCATAATCACAGGGGTCTCATTATTACGATGATACTTTTTCTATAAAAAGCATTTGAACATGCTCAGTTTCAACCACATTTTTTAAAAAAGTAAGAAGCCTTGATTAAGCTCATGTCTTCCTCTGGCTACCACACTCTCCTTCTCCATTCCCTCTGTGGAACTCAGTTGTCTAAATAGCCATCTTTCTCCTCCTCTTCTTCCTTGAAAGCAGAGCATACTTCCCAGTATAAAGGGAAATAATGCCAGATGTTCACTTGCTGAAACGCTCTTGTAGATGGTGGAGAGTTGTGAGTGTTAAAGCCAAGGAGTCGTCAAGGCAGGTCCGTTGGGAGCTTTTCAGGAAGGTTTGCTCCCTAATAAAAAGGAGAGAGGCACATGAGGAGAGCTATCCCTTTTGGCCTTGTTCATGTGAGGACAGGATATTTGGAGATGCTTTTACTATCTTAGAACCATGAAGGGGGGTGGCCAGTGATATCCCCAGAGAAGCCAACTAGAGTCTAAACCTGTGAACCACCCACCTGGGCTGCTCCTTGATAGATAGATATAGATATAGATGTAGATATACACACATGCACACATACATATATATAGTATGTGTGTGTGTTGAATGGGAGAGTCTCTATTATATAAGTCACTTTTATTTGGGTATTCCCACATTTACAGCTGAAAAGACATTGATATATTTTTAAAACCAAAATTTCTATAGAAAGATCCATATAGATTCTATCCACTTCCTTTTCTATCAGACTCATGTCAATCACTGAAATCTGGTTTACCCACCCCACATGGCTCTACCATGTTCTCCCAAGAGGGTCCGGTGAGGATTTGCTGCTGAACCCACTGGACACTTTTTCAGACTGTCTCCTACATGGCCTCTCAGTAGCACTCGGTACTTTAAAATCCTGGGAGAGGCTTTGCTGTAGCTCTGTTGCCCTCCCTCTGCACATGTCTTCACTGTTATGTCCCTGGGCTCTGTCCTTAGGGTTTTTTCCTCCTCACTGCATGCTCAGCCAGGGCCAGTTCATCTGCCTCCGTGACTTCCACTTATATCTCTGAGTCTGTGATTTTCAACCTCTTACATCTCATGGCACATATAAACTAATTACGGAAATTCTGTGCACACCAAAAACTATTATTTTTGCCAATCTGACCAAAAAAATAGGTATAATTTTGATTAATTCATACCAGATGGCTATTGTTGGTTGGTTGTTATCATTTTTTAGTTTGACAATCAAAGGGAAAAGAGGTCAGTGTCCCTGACTAAATAGTCAGGTATTGCATGTTTTAAGTATTCTGTGGCACCGTGGTTGAAAATCGCTGCTCTCTGCTAATGACTCCCAAACCTATGTGAATAGACTTCTACAAGTCAGCAGGAAGCATATAACTTATGAAAGAAGCCACTTAGAAGTTAAGTAACTCTCAT